AGGCCGCCCTGACAATAGGACCATGTTACATTTCAATGGTCTATTTGTAATTATATTTAATCAAACAAAATTAATCCCAATGAATCGGCCTAATAGATACTGGCTGGATAAAGAAGCATTTAGGTTTGGCACAAGTCGATTTCACCTCGCCTGAAAAATGAGAAATTACGATTTTGGAAGAAGTGAATGTACAATGGATTTATGAATAATTAGGCAAAACATGCGGATTTGTAAATGTTCAGTTAAAGCCGTATAATGGAAAAGGCAAGTCAACTTGGCCAGCATCATGTCCAACTGTAGCAGTAGATGCGCTGGTCAAAGAAGTAGGCCTTAGTGGACCCACGGTTCGGCACGAGATTCGAGGCGATTTCATAATGTGTATACGCAGCCCGGACGGTTGATAAGCATTTGTAGCCGATTCGATCCGAGCAAAATGCAGTCGAGTATCAGAGGCTCGGCGAGCCCAAGAAGCTCCAAGACACGGTAATGGTAGCGACGGCTTATTATGGCTGGAGGTTTGATTATCGGAGGAGTCGCGAATCGGGTCAACTGAATGATCTGGATGACTACGAACAAGAGAATGGTTAGTAACAAGAATGGCACAGCCAGAAGAATGCGAAATACGCCGCATTTCGGAGATTATAACATCAAGATGACCAAGGGCTGTAGGGAAAAATATGAAAAGATTAATGAGGTCAAATAAAATTCTAAAATATAAAAGATAATACGACATAAAATAGATCATAGTTCAAAATAAATGTAAATGAAACTAAACTATTAGAAGTGTAAAAATAGTTGGTCGCTATAGAAAATACGACTTTGCCTCGTCGATAATCCCAGCACGGAAATGTGATATGGAAGATGCCTAGGCTTGTGCGTTTTGATCCAAGGGCACTCGTTGCAGTGGTCAACGTGCCGCAATTATACGCTGCACTATAACAACCAGATTTCGAGTCCCGCTGGGGGTGGGAAACTGCAACTCACTCCCACCTGAGTGAGAATACACTTTGGGGATCAAAGCAATGTGAAATTCAATGAAGATATGAGGCC